GAAAAATGCTTGATTTTGATGATTTTTAGCACAAAAATGGCCGCCATTCGGCCATCTTGAATCAGAACGTGAAACAAAGTGACGTGCATATGTATAATATCATGTATGATGTATGTGTGAAATTTGATTGTGATTGGTCAAGGCATTTCTAAGATACAGGTCCGGACGCACGAATGCACGCACAGATGCATGCACGGAAACACACAGAGGTCAAAACATAAGTCCCCTGTTTTCGGACTACGTAGATACCGGGTGCAAACATTCTCTCTTTTGAATGCTCAGCAAGATTTAGCAAGGCTGTACATAAATAATAAAAAAGAAACTTGGTGAAAAAAAGAAATGATGGGGTCTCCATAATATGCACTATATTTAAGTTTTAACAAAACGATAATACATTTAAATTGGAACTGTTACAGCCATTTTCATTATGAGCATTAGCAAACTTCTTACTGAGTGAATTGTTATGCAAATTAGCAATTATCTCAGCTTCTTTTTAGTGTACATCCCAGAACTTTAAAAAAAAATAATAGCTCCTAGACGCTTTGACCTTTTGTTTTGAAATTTTCACAAATGATTGACAATGTGTTTATTTTCAAAACGCCGTTGGGGCATTGTTTTTGGTTGAACAGTGTTACAACAATCGTACAGACAACTAGCCTGGGTGTTAATTTATGCATAAACTTGAAGTAGTGAAATTTGGGCTGCTGCCCTGCAAAATTGACAACTGGTAGACAGTTTTCAAGACGGCACTTTTTTCATAGTAAACAGATGTACCCATAAACCAATTTTGACAGCAAACGGAAGCATGGTTTAGAAGCTAATTTTTTTTAAATCACTTTTGACCAAAAAAGCACATTTTTGTGCATATTTCAAACTACAGTGTCCATAACAAAAAAATACTAACAAAGTTTTAAAATTCATACAATAAGCTTTCCGAAAATATATAGTTTTGTGGACAAGGAAGGTGATCTTGGTTTCCTAATTAACTAATTAAAATACCTGTCAGGTAAACTGCATCTCTACCTTAAAATAGCATTGTGGTAGCCAAGTTGAGAACAATTGTTTACAAAAATAATATACACCTCAAATATCAAAACAATCTGGTTGGTAGTTTTCAAGAAGAAGTCGAAAATAGCCTTTTTTTACCAAAAATTACAAAATATTTGCCAAAAAAAGAGAATTGAAGTTATTGTCATAAAATGAACAAATCTGGAAGCTGAAAATGCAATTATTGATGGACAATAACAGACAATCACCTATATGAACAGCTCCACTCTGTCATCTACAATGACAGCAGAACTAATAAAGGTCAAATAGCGGTGTTGGCATCAACAGTGTTCCTTTGTGTGGACGCTTCATAGTTTTTGTGTTCAATGCTTTGAAAACTTGATATGCTCACACAACTAAGCGATTAAAGTTATTTAATATTCAGTAGGAAGCTGATATTTTAATGGAGCAAAAATTTTAATTATCTCTATTCTCGTTTTTTTGTATAATTACAGAAACATGGGGAAACATAGAAAAAACTTGCATACATGTATGTTTTATCACATTTGTGGAAAGTATTTAACCAATAAAAAAAAAAAGAACTATGACCCAACTAATACTACTTACTGTGTACATCTCAAACTATCTTGCGTTATTTGATGAAATAATAAAGGATATGGAGTTACAGTCGTAATTAGTTTGACCTGTTGTTCAATGAATTTAAGTTAAGCTCCAAAACAAACGTGGCATGCATTTAGAAAAAAGACCAAAGGAAACGCTGGTTGCTAGTCTGTTCTATAGTGGTCTGAAGATTAAATAGACTTGGGGTGGAGTTCCATGTTTTGCTACATGTGTGAACACCATATATATGTGACAGTAAAAACGGTAAATATTTACTAACTTTTATAATCTTCAAAATCCTAACGACTGTTGAGCATTTAGTTTAGACATAGACCCTACACAATAAGTGATGTTCTCAGTGGACGAAATAAGCCGTTGATACAATGCCTTTTATTTGAGAATGTTGTTAAAATGTATGTGTGAACAGAATACGCCGTTGTGGCGTCAGCGTTTTTGACACGGTTGTAAAAAGGGTGGACAAGATCCTAAACGCCGTTGTCACACCGGCTCTTGCACAACGCAATGTGCCGTGTGAACACAATACAATGGCCAAACTCCCTCTATCGCCGACTTATTTATGTTTGTCATTACGCAAGATGGCATCAGATGTTACAGGTCGAATGTCAAACTGGTCAGATGAAAAAACAAGATTACTGATATCTGTATGAAGAGAATCAAATATTCAAATAATGATGGACGAAATTAACGTCTAGGGATGCTAGATTAAATGCTGTAATTGCAGAGAAATCGGCTGAAAAGGGGTTGGACAGAACGTCATTACAATGTCAACGAAAGATCAAAACTTTACGTATAAAGTACAGAGAAGTTACTGAGCACAACAGAAGCGATCCGGAAACTATGCTATTTTGGAATGAACAACACAAACTATTAGGTGGAAGGCCAGCATTCAATCCTCGAACACCGATGTTTTTACTAAGTGAGAACGCAAGCAGACAATTCAGCAGATTATCTAATATTTGCACAACAAAAAAACAGTGTTAACATCAGCGTTTTTTATATGTGTCAGAGCGTAGCTATAGACCCTACATCTATGCACGGTTACTAGTAACTGTGATCTATGGTTTATAAGTAAGTCATGAACCAGTGTTTTGGAATAAAGAAGCTAAAGAAAACCCAATGGTGCAATGGTGCAAAATTTTCTGTTAGACTATGTTTTGGCTTGTGATAAGTGATATAAAATCTATTCTATTGTTATAGATATAAGCATTTTTTTTTTTCTGTTACATTTTTTTCTTTCACTGAAATTTTTTCCTAAATTCCAGCATTTAAGAATTATTTTCTAGATAATGTATGTTATTATGTAACCAATTTAAACTGTGTTGGTGTAGAATGGGAGTTTGTGGTTATCTCTTGAAAATACAATCTTATCAATAAAATCAGTACATACCATACTTGGGACATGGGACACAAATATGGTATGATTTCAACTATTTATAAATAAAAAACATTATCGAACTAACTTTGATTGCGTTGACTGCAAAATGCCGACAATGAGGCTAAAAACAATTTTCTGCCCTCTAATAACAAGATTGTGAATTAATTACTTCATTTTTTTTGTTTCATGCATAACACGTATTACAAATTAATAAATTAGGGTTAGGGAAGGAATGTAATGCTGAATGTTACAATCTAAATTTGTATTTCTATGTCATACCCTACATCTGCTTCCTGCCAAGATATCCAATTTAAAATTATCAAAAAAATAACTTACCATGAAGTCATAGTTTGTTTAGGCATGCACAACAATAAAATGTGCATCCATGAAGACAGTAATCCCGTTATTTACTAGTTCACTAATTTGGACTATCTGGGAATTTTCTTCATATTTGGGCAATACGAGAGTAGGTTTTTTTGAAATCATTAAGGTCATTGTGAAGTTTATTCATCAAGAAAGTATTTGGTTTGTACAATATGTATCACGAAAACTGTATTTACAAGAGATTACTGCGATTACACCAAGGTCATTAATTAATGTCCCTCTGTGGTTTAATTTTACATTTTCATTTAAACTAATGTAGGTTGATCGTGAACCACAGTATTGACGTCGTTGTGACATTTCAAAACAAACAAGGTCATTATGTTTTTGTTTGAGATCAAACTTACAATGTTTACGAAGGCACTTAAGTATTGTCATTCATTCGCAAGACATAAACAATAGGGAAGTTGGATCAGACAAAGGAAACAAAACAGACGGTGCTCTTGTCAATGACGTAGAATGAACTTTTTTTCGGTAAACACAGACACGTGTCGCCTGTCAATTAATAACTCGTACATATTCGAACTGTCACAACACTTGGAATTGTTATTGTTGCACCCGTGCACTCTTTCTTCAAAAGTTGTCATTTATGAAACCGATCTTGTACCTGCACTTTGCACGGGGTCATGGGTGAGAGTCGCTTTCTAACGATATGTTCCCTTACTGGAATTCCAATACACGTCAACGTAATTTACTCGGAATGTGACACAAAAACGTTATTCTTACCCTCTCCCTGCCAGCCTGCAGTTTCTTCAGCCGCTCCTCTTCGTCCATTTCGCCAATCAAGGCAAATTTTCAAAAATCAATGATAAGTTACGTGGAACATGGCGGATTGCCCTATATTATTCCCGATGTCCACTGGGCCTCGTTTTGAGCACCACCTTTCCAGCTCGTATATTGCTCCCTCTTGAAAAATTAGTGGCGTTTACTTTGTTTTTATATGCCAAAAAACAAAACAAATGAGAACGTAAATTAATTGTTTTTTGAAAGTAAGAACGAGATTAATAAAAATTAAGCACCATTTTGTGTTTGAAAATGGGGAAGGGATGTCGCATAGAAATGTCAAGATTGAAAAGAAGAAAATGTTCACTGAAGATTTTGAATAATAATTCAATGACATAAAAAAGAAAACGACTACTGTATTCAGTATAAATCCAAACACAAGGACATTGCAGAAATGAATAAAAGATTAGATAAAATAATTACAAGGTTATTC